AAACCATTTCAGGTGACTACCTCTTGAAGCTCATGGAGAGAATGCCAAGAGTGTGCAAAGCAGTAATCAGAGCAAAGGGTGGCTATTTTGAAGAAACTAGAATATAAAACATGTTTTCAGTTATTTCACCTTTTTTTGTTAAGTACATAACTCCACATGTGTTCATTCATAGTTTTGATGCCTTCAGTGAGAATCTACAATGTAAATAGTCATGAAAATAAAGAAAACGCATTGAATGAGAAGGTGTGTCCAAACTTTTGGCCTGTAATGTACATTATCATATACAGGGTTCCTACTGTCATTAAATTCCTGGAAAAGTTTTAAGGTCTGGAAATTGTTTGGAATTCAGAGAATGTTTTAGAAAAGATTTGAATATACATTGTTTCAACTGATGTTCAAAAATGATCTTGAAAATCGAAATATGTTCCCTGTATAGCTAATATAAAATGTCCTGCTGCACTTTTTGACCATTGAAACATCACTAGTATCATGTGATTCACACTGGCAAATATGCGGCTAAGTGGGGACGGGAATGTCTAACAAATGAGTGAAGTTAGCAAGCGTTAGCAGTCTCTTATCCACAAATGTGTCCAAACTTTTGGCCTGTACTGTACATGTTGGCTATCTAGCCTACAGGTTACTGATGGTGAGAAATATTAAACTTTTTATGCAGTCCTGCCATCAACAACAACCACCACCATAACACAGACATGTATAAGGCTGTAATGAACATCATGCTTGATTCTTATTTCAAAGAACAGTAACTGTGTGTAATTGTGTGAAATAAAACACAATAAAAACTGCTGTAAATATCACCAATGGGAAAATCTCACATGTAAGAGAAATGTTTTCTCATTTTAAAGTTGATATTAGCTCATATTTGGCTGGTACACACACAACCCACTCAGCTTATTATTTCTAATTAGCCCTTTCTATTTAATCTGTTGCTGCCAGCTTTTATGACACTGATGTTATGTGTCTCAACAATTTGTGCCATTTACAACTGCCGCTGCCGACAAACACTCATTTTTAGCTACAGTAGCAGCGTGGTTATATTGATCTGTTGATCTCTCCACCACTTTGGAGTATCTAAACAAGTGTTGGGTTGCCATAACATTTGTACAGACATTAATAATCCACAGAGGATGAACGGTGTTGACTTTGGTGCTCCACATTTTTTTTATACTGTGCCGTTATTAGGTGAAAATTTTAATTTGTTCAATATTTTGATTTATGACCAAACACCTGCAAAACTAATGACAGTCCCATCTGTCTCAGCTCTACTTTGTATTTAGTGCTAATTGGCAAATGTTGGCATGCTAACACGCTAATAGAAGACGATGACTGATGAATCACTAATGCCAAAAATGTAATTTGAAGTGTTTTTAAACTTTAATAGGCTTTAACTTGCATCCCAGATTGAAAATAAATGACAATCTTTAATTGTCAATATGCTATTTATGTATGTTTGAGTTGTAACAAATAATAAATAACATAATGAATAAAGTGAGAAGGGCTAAGGTCCTCACGTGCAACAGCAATCACTTTAAAATTAGGTTAAATCAGGCATATTAAGTATAGACTATGTATTCAATGTACAGCCTGACTAAAGGTTAATCCTACAAATGAACACATGGTTTAAATAATAAGGGCAACAGGCCTCATTCACCAAGAAGAATGTCTTCTTAAAACCCACTTACTCAGTTTTCACAAAGATTCACCAATATTTTTCCTATTTGGGATTTTTTTCTTAGTTAATACAGAATCTACGCACATTATGGTCTTTTTAAATAAACACAACACCAACCCTTCATTTCACATCAGTTATGTTAATCTGAACCATGCCATCTAATAATTAGTGATCACACTAGAATATGTCACAGGTCAACAAAGTGACAAGTGACAAAGCATTACGGGTAAGTTATTAAACACTTCATGAAATAGTCCACCTTCCACCTCTTCTCCCTTTCAAACAGAACCACGTACACCCTGGAGAGTACTGCAGCGCTCGTCTTTGTCCTCAGTCTTGATGACTGTGCTACTATAATGCATTAAGTTTGTGGTTGTTACTCGATTAACACATATTTTAGCATCGTATGCATCCTTTTGTTTTCTTTTATATCCACTACTGATGCTATGACCACTTATCTGGCATTCACTTCCTACAGAAGCATCTCCACTTCAGAACTATTAAAGGTTTTTTTTTAGGAGTCTGATACTCCACCCTTTTTAGACTTTTGCTTGGGCAGTCTTGACTTATTTCTCTCAACTTTTCCTCTTATTATTTTTCTTCTTCAATTCCTGTGTGTGCACACGACCCTGCAGTCTCATGGCCTTTTAAAGGGATTTGTGGGCATTTACCTGTGCTAAGTAGGATCAACCGGCACGCGCTTTCAACTTACGAGGACAGGGGGATTTATCATTATGGGGACCCAGGTGCAAACATTTCTGTGGTTTAAGAACACTAAGGACCTTTATTAGGGACGGATTCAAGAAAATATTTATGGGTGAATGAGGCCCAGTGTGTCGACATCTCACAAGTGATGCTGCAAAGCATTTGTCTCTCCGGTTGCTCGCAGAGTTTTACCTTGTCCATGTCACCATGGGTTCAGGATAGCCATCCACAGCACAAGTCAACATGGCAGGCTGCCCGACATCTGCTGTGGCATTCACTTCTGACTGCCATACCCTGATGGTCGGGAGCACTGAGACATGCAGAGATAGATAAATAATGAAATAGATAAAAAGAAAAAATTGGTAGACAGACACGTACATAGGCAGACTGTCACATAGATAAATATCGGGGGGGGGGGAAACGGAGACACAAGCTGTGACAAATTCAGAGCACTTATTTTAGGCACACTCATTTGCTAGGCTCAGAAGTTGCAGGAAACAGACTTCATTAGCATGGAACATCTTTGATACACGGTTGCTCTGGGCAACTGTCTCCACATTGATGCTGAGCCTGGTCGCCTCTAAGGATATACAGCTTATTTAAGCGTCATGGGACACCTGCCACACAAAAACATGCACACAGGAACAAAAAGGAAGAGGAAATAGTGCGAGGGCTGCTAACCGTTCACAACGACCTTGATGACCCGCAGATCAATCTCGCCGCGGGCCATGAGGCGACCCTCACAGGTATACGAGCCCTCATCTGTCTTCTTTATGCCACGGATTTGAAGGTGATTGTTGCTCAGTACCTTAAAGCGAACTGAAAGGAAGCAGGAGATGAATGCATTGTCAGGTGCGTTATATATTTGGAAAGTTTATATTAGGTACAAGTCAGTTGATGATAAACAGCTGCTGTTGTGCTACCAAGAAGGTTACATCGTGATGTAGTACCATATATATATATAAATATATAAAACAAATTGTCATCTCAATTGGACAGCCACTGAAAAAGTTCCCTTTGATAAATCAGGCTGACAACAATTTAACACTGATGTTTGACTTAGCCTCTAATATCTCTGCACTGTTAAATTTAACGTTAAATTTATGCATTTTAATCAAGCACCACTAGTCTGAACAATCTGCAATATTTTTGTCTGTCTGGGGGTACACTGTTACATTAAAATAATCTTTTTTTGGAAACAGATTATATGCAATTTCCATTTCGTCAAATTCATATCTGAGAGCATGCCCAACACGCCATCCACCAGCTCCAGAAAAGGAGAAATATGGCCAAAGCCCACAAGAGCTCTCTCACTTGGAGATGAAATGTGAACCGAACAAATTTAATCATGTAGTAATTCAAAATACTATCACAACCCACACATGAGCCCGTGTTATTATTTTCCAGAGAGCGACACCAACAATACCAAACACATTATGATATTGCTTGGTGTCAGAGGTGAATAACAGGGAATCTGTTGTATTTTCAAATTTAAAAACCAAATTAATTTTTGCTTTCAAAGCGCAGGATAAACCCTGGAGAAGGGTGGCAACAAAGGCAAGGCATGAACAATTTCAAGTCTCTGATGCTGATGAATCTGCATACCCATTATAGCTTATTGTGTCTGTGCTTGTATTGTGACTATCTAGGCTTGTAGCATGTCCTGTAGTTTATGTCTGTTACAGTTACAATGAATTAATCACATTATCAGTTTGGCTTTTGAGTCAGACTTTTGCTTCAAAATATGCTTTTCTGCAGTTGTTATAAGAGTTCATCATCAAATCTTAACGCTACAAACCTACTACAACAATGTTACTCTTCATGTTTGTGCCACAGGACATTGTTATAGGAATACAATGCAGGGTTTTCCTACAAAAATTATGGACTCATGCAAAAGTAATTCCTCTCAATTATCATTTATGACTCACTCTCAGTGTGTGGCGCTGTATTTTTCTGCAAAGACTCTGCCCCTCTGCCTGTATTTTCTAATTTTCTGTGTTCAAGACCTTAATTGGCGTGTACCCCCACAGAGTGCAGTTGAAGTAGTAACAAGGTGCCAGACTGTGAGCTGCACTCATCCAAGAGACACAGCCCGAAAACGCAAATATAACATAGCTAAATGTCAAATGAGAGTGAATCTAGGGTTGGCTTTGTTCTTTCATTTTTGCTAGCAAGCATGTTCACAAAAAGCAACTAACAATCCTGCATATGAGACCTTTGACATTTGTATGGCTAGGTAGTCATGCATCAAGTTGTGTGACAGTTCTAACTTCTGAAAGCAATACAACGAGGAACAAAAACATTTCGTAATGACAGACTTTTGATTATTTTGACTCTCTATTATAATTGACTTAAAAAGGATTTTATGCAAACCATTATGCAAATAGGTTGTACAAACTAAATATCAAACAATATTTAAAACATTCATATTCATTAGCTAATGTTTGTCAGAGAGTAAGAGTTGTATGAAACACTAACAGCTCAGGCATATTAAGAATGTGCTGAGTTAAAAGAAATGACAGGAGCTAAACACCTAATCAAGACAAATAGAAATATGATCCCCGTGCTCTTCAGAGAAGTCTTACCATCTTTTTCCATCTGTATTCTTGCTCCTTTATATTTCCAGAGGACAGTAGGTGGGGGGGAACTGACGACGTCACAAATAATGTCAGCATTGTCTCCCTCTGTAAACTCCTGGGGCGAGGGTGCATTTGTGAAGGTGATTTTTTCTGGAATATAAGATGCAAAACACTTTATACTTTATAGTGGTTATTTAAGTCTCATCAAAACTCCATCTTTCTGACTTAGCTTGACGGCTGGGAAGTAACACGTTCTTGTTCACTATTACAGAAGGACACTGAGTGAAGCATATGTTTTGAAAAATTGTTCCACAAGCAGTAGGATAGCTTCAAAATAAAATTAACAATTTTTTTGTCAGTTACCCGCAATTTTCCTGTAAAAAAGTGTCAAACTGAAATGGTGCTTGGCAATTTTACCAATCGCTGTCTTTTCTATGTATAAAAAAATTCAATTCTGACCCATTTTACAACCACCCAACTTCTTTGTAGCTATGGTAAGGAGGACATTCTTTCACTCAAGTCACTTTAAACAAGCTGCCCTAAATCATGATTTTTTTTAAGTTACCAGAAATTGGGGGGGGGGGGGTCTATCCCAGCGGACACTGGGCGGAAGGCGGGGGACACCCTGGACAGGTCGCCAGGCTATCACAGGGCTGACACATAGAGACAGACAACCATTCACGCAGTTAAGAGTCACCAATTAACCTAGCCTGCATGTCTTTGGACTGTGGGAGGAAGCTGGAGTACCCTATGGAAACCCATGCTGACACAGGGAGGACATGCAAACGGCTCCCCTACACCTGGGTTTGAACCCCCACCCTGGATTTGAGCCGGGAAGCCTATTGCTAACCACTGTGACAATGCTAACCACTGCACCATCGTGCCAAGCTTGACACTTATTGCCTTCAGGGGGCACAAGTGATGAAACTGCAGCAGCTGTTATTTTCTTTGACTACAGAAGGTGACATTACATTACATCTGCAAACTGCTGCTGTCGTCATGCCTTCCATTCCTATAGGTGGCAGAAGTTCCCGTGTTTACAGCTGCTTTGACAACGGCGGGAGCTTGCTTAATATTAATGTGTGAGTTTGGGGTCAACTAGTATCATTAGGTGTGTCACTACAAGATCGAACCACAAACCGATCTGTTCAGGTCCTGTCCCCTGACTGATGGGCTGTCGTGACCCTGACCACATGAGGTCAATGCCTAACCCCAACCATCTTTGCACGTGTGTCAAAAAAAAACATCATTACAGGTCGGGCAGCAACAAGGTGCTCGGTCTTAAAGTCGTTCTTTATACGCTGTGTTGCTGGAGTTTCTACCTCTCTAGAGACAAAGTGCTTCACATCTAAATAGTGTGACATTTTAAATTAAAACACAGTTTTACATTTACAAAAGGCAAGACAAATGCTTATCTTCAAAAACTTCAAACCGCGAAAGACACTGCATATTGATTTTAATGCAGTATCTACATGGGTGACCACTTCTAATTATAACCTCAAAAAGTTCTGTTTGGGAAGGGATTTCATCTCTGACGGACATTTGCTGATGCTTGGCATTCATGGAAAATAAAAGCCATTACTCACAAGAACTGCACAACAGACAGGATCATTAAGCAGCCCTCTAATGGTCTTCCGACCGTTTATTGAACTGATGAAAAATCCATCCTCACTTGAAAAGAAAAAGAGTAATGTGTTGCCCTTGAGCAGTCAATAAAATACTATGAGTTCAATAAACAGGATTTTTTCCTTCTGTGTTCATGCCACTCAATAATTTGGGAAATGTATGGGATGAAGAAAATACTTACGAAAGATTTTCACTTTGACGGTTGACTCCCCTTGCTGGTCTCCATTAGTAGCGACACACTTGTATGTCCCTGCATTTTCAGTCCCAGCTTTATAAAGTGTGAGGGTGGAGGATGACTCATCGTTACGGGTTACTGTTATGTCTGGTCTGTTCGGTTCTATCCTGTCCCCACTTGGTCCGAACCAGTCTATGTGCCTGGCAACGCCTACAACTGAGAGCACAGTGAAGAGCAGCATGTTAGAAAACAGTTATCTAAAATGTATACATTCAGCATCAGTGTAGGTCACCAGTGCCCACAGACTGAATATTGTAGGTTGTTCACACTCCTGCATGGACTGTAGCCTGTGGTTTATGCATTTTAGCTCTTAGGAATAACTGATGAAATAAAATTCATATGAAAAAATATCAAAAATTTATGCCATGTTTTGCCTTGAGCAGATGGTGAGAGCAACAGGAAACTCAGGAGATTAACAGGGGTTTCATGTAACAAAGGTCAATCATTGATTAGGGCATTTCACCCACATGGATACATGTACGTATACCAGACCCCTAAATCATCAAGCTGTCAGTATATGTTGTTAAAAGATAGCTTTGTAAAGCAACGTGGTTTTAGACTAAAATACTTTTTGCTGAGTACCAGTTATCTATGTGAACATCTTGTGCAATAAGTACAGTGTTTCCCATGAATGAAGTCATTTGTGGTGGCCTGCAACAATATCATTGACCACCACATTGTTTTACTGTTTAGAATCCAATAGCCGATGAAAAAAAACAATAGACCTGAAAATGGCGTTACTTTGGCTTTGATGTAGCCACCTCTCTTTGTCTGCTGTCATCAGTCTGTAGGCTTAATCAATGTCCCAGCACTATCTGATCGGTTCCACGTCATGAGTAATAGCCTTTCAACACTGAAGGTTGATGTGCAACAGACGAGCATCACAAATGCAGACTGGAACTACTCGAGTGGTGCTGTGTGTCAAATGTAAAGCAGTAGACGTTACTGAAGTTGTAATAAACATCACAATCCAATTTGATGCCGCTGCAAAAAACATGCACTGTTTTTACTGGTAAAGTTTTGCTATTAGAAATAGTAGTTACACGACGTAACTTCAGTTGAATGAGTACCAGAACTGCAAGGAGAGGAAGGACGGAGCCTGAATGCAGCAAGAGATGTGACTAGATTATCATAGTTTTCGATAATGACACATAACACCAACCTACCAATACGCATTTAGCCCGCACTGGACCCATTCCTATGAGTCATTCACTCTATTTATCACTCCAATCTGCAGTATAGTTCATACACGTCATCGATGAACATGAGAAGTGTGCAGACTTCATAGTCAAAACAGGTTTTGGAACACACTCTATGCTCCCCTCCTCTTGCAGCTACCGCCACAAATACTAATTCTGTAGGAAACACTGAAGTACTCATGGTACTAACATGCCAACTTGAATTTGTTTTTTGTGATTACAAATTTTGTTTTTTCAAGTTAGATATTTATGAGAATTTAAACTCAAATCACAGACCTGTGCCAACAAATCTTGGCCTAAATGAGAATGTAAAACTGAGGTACAAAGTAGGGTTGAATGGTATCACAGTATTAAAGTATACCAGGATATTTAGAAATCCCAACACTACAATTTTCAATAACTTAAAAAACACAGATGCTCATCTTTCAATTAAACTCATATGGAGAGCCTATATTGAGGGTATATTGTATGCAGAACACATCATGTACAACCAGAGGTCAGCATCTAGCGGTGGAACAGGCAGTTGAGCTGGCAAACATAGGAACTCCAAGTGGTGGGGATAACGTCAGAGGACTGTAAACAGCTGGTCAGCAACAGCAGAGAGAGACAGCAGGCAAAACTGCATATTATCACATCTAACTCCGTGAATTAAGGGTTAATTTCATGCCAATACTTTAATAAATGGTATGCTTCACTGGAATTTCAAGAAGGTATGAGGGTAGGAAAAATAAAGTCTAGTAAAAAGTGAAAATCATTGGGTTGGATCCAGGTTTAAAAGGTAAAACTGGGGCTTTTACAGTCATGAAGGTTCGGTAACTTACCTTCACACATGAAGAATTTGGACTCTCCAAGACTAATCTCACCATGACTTGGTGTGATCTGCACTTCCAGTGACACTGTAAACAAAAAAAACAAACAATGCATGATCAGAAACGCAATAAGCAACATAATTAACGAATCACAAGATGGAAACATATCAATGTGTGCCATCTAAAGGCAAGAAAAGAAGTAGCCACCTGGAGACGGGGCAACAACTTTTAAATGTTTCATAATGTTTTATAATTGATGAAATTATATCTGATTTGCTAATTACTCTGAAGTTCACACTCTTATTTGATTGTTTACCACCAACACAGTTGCCGTGAGACAAATTTTGTTAGATTCTTATTAATTATAGGATTTTAATTAGCAGTTGGTACAAGTACCGCATGTCAAACTTGAAACTCACAATCAAAGACAACAACAATTAAAACGATAATAAAAACTCAAGCTGTGACTCTCATTTCCATCAGATGTCCCAAATTACAGCGGTTACTATTTCCTGCAGGTGGCGACATGCATATCTTTTCACATACATCCATTTTATAATTGCGTTAGAGCAGACAGTGAGTACTGGTAATCCATGGAAAGCAATGTGCATGCACATTAAGAAATTGACTATGCCAGTTTTGGCTCCAGCAGCCTGATTACTAAAAAAAAACTGACATTTCCTGTTCCTCTTTTGCCTGCAGTCTTCCTGTTCTTTCAAGAGAAATAACATCCAGCCAACTCTGCAATTATCTAGTTAACACTGAACAGCTGGTAAGAACCAGTGCTGTGCTGCCAATGTACCTTGAGAGAAATTATATGTAAGATGCTTCAAAGAAATTCTTAGAAATCACGCAGTCTTTCCGTCAAGATAAATGCAGCATGTCTCACAGTGAAAGTCTGCACTTAATCAAAGACCGGATGAAAAAGACACATTTCTGTTATTTGACATGGACATAAGTATGGCCTGAAACACTTCTGTGCTTAATTAGAACAACGCTTCCCTTGTTTCCGACAGAATCTCCCATGGGGGCAGTCAAGAGTTCCTGTGGTGTGACTAAGAAGTGTGACTAACTGGGCCAAAAACACATAAAAATTAATGTGCCAGAGTGACCACTGCTTGGTATAAATGGCAAGAAATCACTACTTTTCACAGTCCAAGTCAAGGAATATAAATTACTTGGGTTTGATTTTTTTGTTCGAATAATGGTAAGCCATCATAGAAGACTAATGTTCACTAACGCTGCACAATTCATCAAAATATTACAGCAATATGGGCATGGGCAACTTTCCTCTATGCTGTGACCCATCACACACTTAAACACAGTTCTAGGGTCACTAAAACAGATTTTTGAGAAAGCATTCAACGATGCAGATTTTTCAAAACTCTGGTGACTTTGTATTCATGTGGATGTGTGGAATGGAGCCTTTTGGAAACAATGATGTCATCTCCATGACACAAACACCCATTGTTGCTCTGTGCAATGAGCATGCACCAGCATCAATAACAACAATGGTGGACTACAGGTTTGTTCACATTTTCTTAGCGGACCTTGGTCTGAGACCTTGGTCTTTCAACCAGGTCTGTGTCACCACATTGTGGAGACTGTGTGCAGATGAACAGTGTAACCTGTCCTTCATGCCCCTGGCTCCGGGAACTTCCTGACTGCCCGCCAGCCAAATTCCACCTGATGGCGCAAAACGTGTTATTGATGATGCCATATAACGTGTTTTTTTGTCATCCAGTAAATTTCTGCTCACAGAACAGGCAGGGAGTTCCCGAAGCTGCCAGCACAAGGGGTGCCTTAACACCATTAATCTGCCCACACCACACACAGACCTGTGCCACACTGGCAATCCTGTACACGAGTCCCTGTCCGATATTATAGTTGATGAGATTAGCCTGTCTGTTCACCTACAGTGCAAGTTTCTAATCAGAATAGGCTGGTGTGAGGGTGACATATCCAGCTATTGAGTGTCTTCTTCCTAAGGCCTTTCCAACTAGCACCCTTAGTGGCCTAAACATAAAAATGCTAGATGACAACACATTAACTCCCTTCTGAAAAGTAACAGCTGTTGTAGTTGCTGGAAATCATTTAAGATGCAAGTATACATTTTGCTGTTAGGGAAATGTTAATTTGAGTCCAGACCAACTGATAGGAGCCTTCGTCTATAGGCCTGACTTAGCTGCGCACAATCTGTAATTTTATATCACTGAGGAAAGGCTACATGATTATTTAAAAAGAACCCTTTACCAAATTATAATGAGCACAGAAAACTTTAACCACAGATGAGTAATTTAATTTTAATTAAACAGAAGCGTACAGCAGCAAAACGGTAATATCAATGCAATCAAACAGAATTAATCAAACACAATCAGTTATTTTCCCGTCCTTTTCCTATTGCTAGTTTACTCACAACCTCCTGGGATTCTAAAGAATAAAGCTGGAAGTAAAAATGCAAAAAAGTCCAAAAGTCTCTGAAATTAGTAGGAGCAACTTGCTCAGTGGATTGAGTGCAAACAGGATGAGCTCCAGCACTCGCAGTAACCCCATCCCATCAGGCCCTGGTTTGTCTCAGTCCACAGCACCAGCAAGAGAGTTCTGCTCGGCTGAAGTCTTGTTCTCAGATGGAAAAACTTTGCTCTGCTCCAGTTCTTGTTCAGAGTGACACAGTGTCCCCCAGCAGTTGATCAGGGGATCTGCACTTCTCTTAAACCTTGAGTTCGACTACCTTTTCTTTATCCCTACATAGACATCCCTTATCAAATCTCCTCTCTCCTTTGCTGTCCCTTTATGGATATCCTACATTAGAGCATAGGCACACATGAGGCTAGCACAAGGCAGGGCTACATAAGGTGTGATCACCTTTGTTACTACAAACAAGGGCTACATGACAAGATCATGTGCTTCAGGACTGTAGGTCATACACCTAAACCAACCTGGTCATGCACACATGTTTTGCTAAGATCTTGCTGGTCTGTTAATCAAACCATCAATTTTAATTCAGGTACATTCCATTTTCGCTAGCCATTGGTGATTGCTCGGCAGTCTTGTTACTTTCCATCAATCCTTTGGTTTTCCTGTTCACTCATTGTTCACACACATATCATAAGGTCACATTACACTTACTCTCAGTAAACCAATAAGTCAACTTTTAGCAAACTTTACTTGATTAAACACATTTTGTTATCATATCACAATTATAGTACAAATCATACACATTTCTACTTATAGAAACTGATTCAGTGTCTATTACAGAATGAACTACAATACAAATCACACACCTTCATTTATATACTGATTCTTTTTATTACCACACCTCTCTAGCATCTTAAGTCTCTTTTTCGATTTAACCTCCATCTCCTCTGTTCTGTTCATCTGTTCATCTGTTCTCCTGTGGTGGTTCCTTTTCTCCACTAGGCCCTGACTCTGCCTATGGTGGTGACACGTTACTTATCATGCAGGTCAGGTAATCCACAACCATTTCTCATTCTTCCTCTTCTTTCTCCTGTTCTGGATCTTCAGTGGTAGAATGTACCTATTGTGGTTCTTTCTTTTTGTTAGGTTCTTCTGCTGCTTATGGGTTTTGCTTGTTTTGCGTCCTGCAAGGACTTGTATAAGGCCTCCCGGATTTAACACTGACATCTGTTTTTCAAGCCACTTTGACACCTGGTTGAAAATTGGTGAAAAACTTAGTGTTGCTGCACCACTTCACAGTTGAACAGAAGCATCTGCTGCGCCCAGTGCTATTTGGTCCACCTCAGTGCCTGCAGCTTAAAGTCAGCCAGAAATTATGGTTTTGGATCAGGCCCAGTCAAACCAGTGCATGGTGGGATAATTTTGAGAATGGGATTGTTGTCAGAGAGAAGTGGAAGGAAAAACTTGTCATGTCCAGAAAGTCAATTGTATCTCTGAGCTGGTTACTTTATCCTTACATTGAAGGGGAATCAGCAGTGATTAGATCTGCAGTAGATGTTTTGAAAAAGGTGACGCTAGCCTGTACACTTCACTACCTTTGCAACAAAGGGAGACTGTGGAAGACAGATACCACTGGCGAGCATTTGGAGTCATTTTAGCATTCTTGTGTGGACCAAGATTTTTTGTTAAATGAATGTGGGCAGATTATTTTCTTAATGGACGGGGAAAATATCTGTTTTCAAAAATATCTATAGGTGAAGACTAGGGGTTAGGGATGGGTACCGAACTCCGGTATTGAACGAGCCCCGGGGCTACATTCTTCAAGACCGCAGTATTGATAAGCTTTGACCTTAACGGTTCTGCTATCGGTACTGGAGCAGTCGTGTTTTTTTATTTTTATTTTTTTTTACAAGATAAACGTTATCTTGCACATTTATCTCACCAACTCCATCAATTATCCGTCATTGTATCATAATTTTTGTGTGTGAGTGGAGAGCAGGGGGGCGGGGCTGTTGTTCCAGTGGCACACACACACACATACACACCCACACACACACACACACACACACACACACACACACACACACACAGCGCATACACCAACTCAAGCTCGTCGCCTACCTTTAGATAGATAACGATGGCGGAGAGAGCCAAACAGTCAAAAGTGTAGCTTTACATTCCAAGAGTTGATGCAGATACAGCGCGCTGTCACAAGTGTGACAAATGTTTTGCGTGTAAGGGCGGCAACGCTAGTAATTCGTCAAAACACCTTGCGAAAGTGCATCATATTCAGATGTACAGGGTTTGACTGCCCTAGCACAGCTAGTTCATTTACGTCCAGTCCAGGTTTGTAACATTATGCTAGCAGCCAACAGGTGGAGTTAATAACCATTAGCTATTTTGCGACCCTATTTACTAAATAGGGTTTCCGGCACAAGATAATGGCTTACCGGCGACGGACAAGCCCGGCTCCAGGTCCAATATTTTCCTCTTTGTTGGTGTCATGACTGTCCAGAAGTACCTGAACAGCTGAGCCGTGGCAGCACACAGGTATGTGATGTGTCAAAGGAGAAACGAGCCGTTCAAATTTCTCTCTTTGTGGCAGGTAACGGTCCACAAACCTCAGCGCACTTGAGGGACTGTTCTTTACTTATGAAGGGACTGTTCTT